GGCGGATAGGCCTATAGGAATTTGAAATAGGGGGGGGGGAGGCGGGGAGGGTGCGGGAGAGAACTGGACCACCTCAGCCCCACCAAGGTTGGTGAGAAAATTTGATTATGGCGCCTCTAGATGGCAAGAAATATGGCACCTCTCAGAGAGTTCAAATTTTCAAATAGGGCCTAATTTTCGTTTTTCTCATTTTTTTTTTCATTTTAAAGACTGGGCGGCTGGGCCTCTTGAATCTGCCACTGACTAGGATTGCATTATAGGACAGATGTTTGAAATGTTCTAAAAGTAACTTTAGGGTTACATTAGTTATGATGTAAAATCGTAGGACAATTTGTATTTTTGGAAAACTGTGCTCAATGTGTTGTGAGAAACCCATATTTTTCAATTATTATTTCCCGCAAATTAAAACCTACCTGAAAAGTCTGCAGAGTGGTGGTATTTCCGTCACATTTCTCTCTTAATTCTTGGAGTTCTTTAGCCTGAACTTTTTGTTTCTCCTTTAATATGCTGTTCCTATTTTCCAGATCCGCAATTTGTCGTTGAGATTGCGCATCCTTTAATCGCAGACGGACGGTTTCAAACATCACCATATCTAAATGTTTTGACATCGAGTCTTGAATATGTTTCTCAAGATCACATTTCACACCCTATAAAAAAGCATAATCTTTTTTTAAATTACCTATCACTGATATATGTTTCTGCATAAATTAATTTACGTCCACCACGTGGAATATTCTGAAATTCAAACCTATATAGAAACAGCAACAAAATAGTTTATAAAGCCCTGTCAGACTATCAAATTTCATTTGACAAATGCATGTGACGTTCCTATAATATTGTCATGATGACATCACACTATGACCATAGATATATAGACATAATCTGAACAGAGCTTTAGCATGGCCACTCGTTGGCATATTTTGCCACTTTGAGTATATTCACTTATCAATTACCTACGATCAATGTTATTGATTGTTTATTATCACGTATCTATTACCGATTGTTTAACATCTATTATCGATTATCTATAACCTATTATGGATTTTGAATTGGATTTATTTGGCTTAAACACCTAGAGTATTCCACAGATGTCCAAAGAAGACTTATTTCTAGGAGGTCCTTTTGGTGGTGATTAGGTATACACCGGGAGACAATCCCTTACACTTGTCCGAACTGCAGGCTCTGCGTTCTTTAACAATCGAAAGACGGTGCGCTACTGAAACTTGCATTTGAGCCCTCTCTAGTTGAAACACAAGAAGAGCAGCAATTAACCAATCAAATGCCTGGAACACTGTAGCCGGTATACAATATAATAATGATTCATATTTACCTTGAACGTACAGTTGTACTCAGCAAATTTACATTGACGCAATTCGTTTTTGCAATCCTTCTCTAGATGTTCGTCCATCTAAATGCAAAAAGAAAATACATCGATGTTATGTACTGTATAATAATATTAATAATATTAAAAAATAACAGTGAAAATGATAAGCAATAACAATATCAACAATCAGAAACAATAATAAGCAACAATACTGAAAATAATAACAATAATGATGATGCTAATAATAATATTCAATAAATTAATATAGGGCTAATAAATGATGTAGGCCTACAATCAATATTTATTAGGTAATTCGAGGAAAAAGACCGTTGATGTGATGATGATGTGAGTAATTCTCTCGCTATTCCACATCCAAACACCAAGATCGCTAGGATTTAATATCGTATGAATTTTGTACACATTCATGTAGGCCTATTCTTTGTAAAAAAAATAATGTTGATAAGTCACGAATAACAACCTCTTTTGAGACTGCGAGTCTGAAAGAATTGAGCAATCAGCGGCATGCTTAATTGGCATTCCATACCTCATATGGCAACTGCATCCTGAGATTAAATTTAATCTTATGCTATTTGTGCCAACTGAGCCTCCAATAAGCTTATATATAACAATCAAAGGGAATTTCCAACTACAGTACACACGGTTAATGCATATATGAAATTTCAGTGGACATAGCGATACGTAGGCCTTCTTTACATAAACACATATATAAAATTAGATTATGATGTAGGCTTATCATATCCAATTTCATAATCAAGAGAAATTTTATCATTGTTGAAATTGCATAGGCCACCACAAGATAACTAGCCACTAGCAAAAATTTGACATTACTCATCGATCTAGTTTATGTTAGGCCATGGAGAAATAAATTTCCTCCATGGTTAGGCCAATATCATTTACTATTTCGTCGGGTTTTCCTAGCCTCATCAACTTCACCAAATCACCGGTAAGATTTTTAAGGCTCGAGAGAGTGCAACTTTCGGGTACCTAGAGGTCCGTATTTTCTCACCTCAGTCCCAACCATGATGGGGCTGAGGTGGTTTGAACTTGTCACACCAAAATTGGTCTAGACCAAATGTCCGGCGGACTCGGCCGCCAAAATCGGTCCGCCGGACTACTAAAATCGGTCCTCCGGGTTGAACCAGTGGCGGCGCCAGCGGGTGGGTAGGGAGGCTTAAGTCCCCACATTGGTCTGGTCAACCCCCCCCCCCCCATCGGCCAAAGCTCGTCGGGCAGTCGAAAAAAAAAAAAAAAAAAAAAAAAAAAATTGGCCTAGTTTTCCCATCCCAGCCATCTATAAGTCCCAATTTTTAAATAAAAATCTCGTTTTGGGAGGAGGGGACACCCCCTCCCATACCCACCCCTGGCTCTAGCCTTCGGCCCTCAGATAACGCTGCGCGCTATTAGTTACACCCATAAATACTTAGCGGTAGGTACTAAATAGACGCCGGACCTATTTTGGCTCATGTGGACTACATTTGGCAGGTAATTTTAAAGCCAAAATCGGTCCGGCGGACCGATTTTGGCCCCGGACCAAATTTTTCCTGACAGACTCTCAGGCACGCAACCGCCAAACCCATGCATCCACCCCAGCTCTCCATTGCTGGATGACTCATCAAATTCATAGCACCGAAGTCTAATTATAAAATTGTAGGCCTATGAGTTGACGTCTATCTCAAACAAAAGAGGCACGTAACCTAATTTGACAATGGAAAATATCACGTGAAAATGGCGTGATCAAACAACAATATTGAACTTGAATACAAAGGATCTAATTCATATGCCCACAGAGATCAGCTCGACTATCAAAACTATGCTTCAATATATGAAATAAAGCACAAAACTGTTCAGTAAGCATCCGAAATGCACTCAACAGAAGGCATATATATACCGTACTGTATCAATAAAATTCAATATGTCTTGCTTCAGCACCGCCTAGTCACAGCTCTAAAAATATATTGGAAATGGATAGAGGATGATCTTCATATGAAATCAAGAAATGAAGCTTTTAAGTAAAAGCTTGTGAAGTTTGAAACGTTCTCTTACAACAGCATTTAGTAGGCTTGTTTTTAGTTGTCGTTGGATACTGGAACGGATCCAAATTGATTTATTTATTGATTTATTGCCATTTTGCAGCCTACGCCGAACACATAAATTATCCATTGAACATTCGATCACTTGACGTGACGTCGCCATGGGAAGTGTTATTGAACTAGGTTTACGTCATGCTCTTTTCAAGTATGATGCTTGAACCATGCTTGAACGATACTTTAACTTTCCGAAACATTCCACGTAATATTTTTTTGAATTGAATTTGAATTTGAAAAGGACGATAGGCATATACCATATACGGCGACACATTTCTATTATTTTGTCCATGTAAGGATAACTATCTCAGTTGTGTATGTTATTGTTATTAGAATAATAGAAAGCTTTCAAATATTACTGGTATTTACCATCATTTCCTCTTCTATGAAATTTCCACTGTATAGTGTGAGTATCATAGATATTTCTGGGGTTTCCCCTAACAGTCCAGGAGGTAGTGAGAAACGAAGGGGCGCAGATGTGTATAAGAGACAGCAACAATGGGGCGGATCCAGAGATGTTGGGGGGGGGGGGGGAAGGGGACCAACAGTGGGCCGATCGAGATAACAATACCCTAGGGGGTCCGAGGACCCACTGAGGCCTTTTGTCCGAAACATTTTTTCTTTTTCTTTTTTTTTGACTTTCCAAAAAAAGGTGGGAGGGGGTCGGGGCCGGCCCAGCCCCCCTCTATATTCGCCCCTGAATCTTTAAAGATGTATACCGTCGTATTATCCCATGAAAAATAAAAAATAATATCAGAAATCATTTTAAAAATTATCTTGCTCATTTTGAAGTAACATAAGAATTATCAACTTGAACATAGAAATTAGTGTATTAAAAAATGTTTACCCGTAAGTTTACAGCGAACAATGATAGAAAGACTTCTAGTCACAATAAGTGATTTTTTATTATGTTTATCATTAGCCAGTATAAAGTACATATTCAACAATTTCTATGCTCAAGTTAATTAGGCATAAGCTTATATGTATGTTATTGCAAAAATGAGCAAATTCAAAATTATTTTTTATGAATTTTTTTTTGTCATTTTCAGGGGACAATACATCTCTAAGTATAAAATGTTAGAAAGAGATTAAAGTGGCTAAAACTCGGAAACTTTATGATATGTTCCATGAACTCCAACATTAAGAGAAAACTCCAACTCTCTTCGTCGCATAATATGCTCCCCTCCTCCCAGATCACAGGTCCTCGTTTTCTACTCGTACCAGCGGAGAAAATCCCAGACTTGCTACTTCATTTATTTATTCAGACAAATATTCCCTGAGATCTTATATGTAACTGGTAGTCTGGGCCTCTCTAGAGATTATCTTGCAAATATCTGACTTCAGTATTCCTTGCATTATATCCACCCTACCCC